ATAAGGCGGGAAAACTTTACTTTTGGGGGTGGGCAAGGGAAAGGGCAACCACTGAGCAGAGCAGTAAAGCTTCTCCCTTGTCACGAATCGCGATTCACGAGTAGGCTCACAGCCTCAGCTCAGCTGAGTCAGCTCTTGCTCTCTGTTAAAACATAAAAGGTGTAGACTGTAGAGGTCAAAAATCAATAAACCAAAAACATAGAGATCATGGACTGCCATAATATATATTTTAATGTAAAATAAGTATAATTAATTTTTTTATGTGGGAAAAATAAAATTTATTTGCAACCCAATTAATTATTATTTTTATAGATTATCTTTATAACTAAATTGATTATACTCTTTTATTATTTTTAAAATTATAATAAATCCTTAATAATAAAGACAATAATTTAAATATGTGTTTGCTACATAACATTATAATAAAATAATATAAAATAATATTATAATTAACATTAAATTAAATAATACATATTATCTTGTGATGATGTATATAAGAATTATGATAGAATAATTTATTTATTTATCAAAATTATTATTTTTAAATATTATATAATTTAAATTATTAATATAATTTTTAAATATATAATAAGACATGTGAGTTTATTCTAATTGATTAAAAATAATTCTTTCTATTTTAAAAAAATTGAATCATTCTATGTGAATAAAATAATTAATCATTTTTATAATTTTATCCCTTCCTGTAAATAAAAATTAAATATAATATAAAATAATTATTATTTTATTTTATCATTCATTATATACCCCTTATCTAAAGTTATATAAAGATGACAAATTTTTTTTTTCGTAAGTAGTGTTACATTTGTGGGAACTATGGAGTTATGCATTCTCATTAGCATAAAAAAAAAAAAAAAAAACAAGTAGAAAAGTAGAGCTAAGAGAATGAGATATCTATAATAGTTTTTGACATTATCCGTTGATATCAATTTTATAAATTTATTTCATCTGTTGATTAGCATTTCAATATTTTATCACTAGCCGAATCAATATCCTAGCTTTTTACGTTATCAAAATATGAAGTATCTAACAGAGTTAAACAAACATAAATTCAATTAAAGAATTTAAGATATATGTTTTTATTTATTTCTATAAAAACATTTGTATTTTTAGAGAAATTATCATCATAATTAATTTTACATTTATAATATATCACTAAATAATCAATTAACAAATTAAAAATAATTAAATAATTAAATTTATATATAATAAAATTTAAATTTAAAACCTCAAAATTTTAAAATTTTATTATCATTAAATCAAATATTCATAAATAAAAACATGTGTTTTTTTTTTAAAAAAACTACCTGCTCTTGTAATTTTTAATAATTTACTATCGCAACTTAGTTGTCTCTTATATTTTTTTTAAAACACTCACGTAGTATCAATATTAAAAAGCTCGGTTGAGCTATCACAATTAACCAAAGATTAAAATATATTTTTCAATTAAAATATATCACAATAAACCAAAAATTAAAGATATTAATCTATTGTCATTAAAAAAGTACCCATCAAAAACAATTCACCTTTTTTTTAACATATTTTTTCTTTTAAAATATTTTTTTTCACCCCGAGTCCCGAGAGAATGATTATGCCATTTGCACATTCGGGTTTGAAACTGAAGCTCTGTCAATTGGAATGGAAATAACTTAGGCGACGCTGCCAAGAAGCCGGAAAACGAAAAGGACACGTGGGGGAGGATTAATGATATCCAATTGAGTACCCCTTAGCTAAACGTACGCCACATTATCTTCATGCTGCAACCTTGACCCTTTATAAGCACTTGTCTCTTCCCCACTTTCCACACCAAGAAACAGAAAGAAATCCAAGTGTTGCGAGCCTTCCTTTTTAGTGTTAATCTGAAAAAAATGCCTGGCATCATCACCATTGGAGATACTGTACCCAATCTTGAAGTTGAAACCACCCACGGAAAAATCAAATTTCATGACTATTTTAAGAATAGCTGGACCATCATTTTCCCTCATCCTGATGGCCTTTTTCTTCTTTTTCTTAGGTTACGATTAGATAGATGGACATTAAAATTAATTGCAATAACATTAAAAATAATAATAATTATTATTATAACAACAATTAAAAAAAATTATAATAATTATGATTAAAAAAATTTAACCATACAAAATTTTAATAAAAATTTTATGTTGAATAAATCTTATTAAAATTAATACTTAAATTTAACTACTGATGTGCTGAACTAAATCGCGGAGATGCGGTAAAATCCGGACTATCTTGAAATTTAAGATGTTAGTAGTACTGTAGTAGTATGCTTTTGCATGCAGCCGATTTCACTCCAGTGTGTGCTACGGAGCTTGGCAAGATGGCGGCTTACCTGCCGGAGTTTGAAAAACGAGGGGTGGCTTTCTCTTGCGACGATTTACGGTCGCACAAGGAGTGGATCAAGGACGTCGAAGCCTACACTGTAACCTTTTTTATTTATTGCTAATTGCAATAAATAACTTTTTCTAGAGTTTCCTTTGACCTTAAAATTAGTGATGAGAAGGGAATGACTTTTATATCCACTTTGATCCGTTTCTTCGTTACTTTCCGCATGTGTTAATTGGCTGCATGCATGCAGCCTGGGTGCAAGGTGACATACCGAATCGTTGCAGATCCTACCAGAGATCATCAAGAACTTAAAATGGTTGACCCGGATGCCAAAGACTCTTCAGGGAACCAGCTCCCATCTCGAGCTTTGCATATCGTGGACTCTGATAACATGATGAATTTTTGTTTGCTAATTAAATCTTAATAATAATGCAAATAAAAATGAAGCCATCGAGGAAAAAGAAAGTAAGTAAGGAACCCATAAAAACCATCGATTTGTGCTAATTAACAAAGAACTTGGATGATGTAGATCAAGATGAGCTTTCTTTATCCATCAACCACTGGCCGCAACATGGATGAAGTATTGAGGGCCCTGGACTCCCTGCAGACGCATCAAAGTACAAGGTTGCGACACCAGCGAACTGGAAACCAGGTGATCCTGTGGTGCTTTCTCCTTCCGTGACCAACGAGGAAGCCAAAGAAATGTTCCCTCAAGATTTTGAGACTAAAAAACAACCATCCAGGATGGAATACCTGCGTTTCACTAGTGTCTGATGGTCGGATCGATATAGTACACATATTCAAGACCATATTGACTTGTGCTTTTGTGTTTGTAGCTAAAATACTACTTGTTGGAGTATCTTTTATCGTTGTCTTTCAAGTTTTACTATGCAAGGACCACCTACAGTTAAATAAAGGCAGTACCTTGCATAAATTGAAAAAAATACAAACTATTAATGCGTTTGCCGGGAGTCGAACCCGGGATCTATTGCTTGGAAGGCAATTATCCTAACCGTTGGACTACAAACGCAAGTTGTTTTACTAATTGCTCTTTATGCTAAATGTTGAGTTATTCACTGTTCAATTACCACAATAAATTTGCTTCAAAGTTTAAGGTCATTCCTGTGATGAGTGCGTGCAATGCTTTTCAGGATTTTTCATTCCTTGACTAATAGTTCTCCACCGTGTTGTTTTACGGGATATGACACAGTGAAGTATACGATAATATGAGTATGAACATCTTGGACTGCATTCGCATTATACTATTGTCATTAATACCGATAATTTGAAGGGTGTAATTGGACCACTGGATTGGGTTTATGGGATGAAATTGTCTTATTCGGTGCCGGAAACTGAATTTAAACGGTGCACTCGGTCCGGTGATACATGTGGATACGAAACTGAGACCGGAGGGTTGATGTGCCTCTGCTCTACTTCTATGAATGCTACGAGAAAGCGTGGTAAGAATTAACTAACTGTAATTCAAAAGTACTATAGATTAAGGTTTTAACATTAGAGAACAAAGATATTTCCATGGTAGTAAATCCTGTTTTATATTTCTTTGTTTTCAGCTACAGGTAGCATTGGAAATCTAGAAGAAGGGCAAAAGTGTAGATTATGGAAAAATTTTCACGCATTTGCCTTAATGCTGAGATCTTTTATATACGTAATTTTCATGCATGGATTCAGGGATCTCTGCTGGAGAAATTTCAGCCTGATTAAGCAAGGTTTGATTCTGTATAGAAAATTGTAGCCCAAAATAACTGATTAATGCATAAAATCAAACATGGTTTGTATTACTCCAAACTTAATAATATCGACTAACATATTAAAGCGAAGGAATGGTCAAAAAACTGTAGGTGAGCATGCAATTTCCATTAAAAAAAAAAGGGTGTAAAACGTTCATTTTGCTAGTTCAATATGGATAAAATTTATATGAAATTCTTTAAGTAAAGTTTGTAAAATTTTTTCTGAAAATTTTAATAAAAATTTAAAACCAATAGGTCGATAGAGTTTATTGTGAATATTAATAATATATAAAAAATTATTAAAAATGATGTTTATAATTTAAATTTAATTGATATTTATTAAAAATTAAAATTTTGTCTATATTTTTGTTAAAAATTTTATCAACATTTTTACTAAAAATATTTATTTAAATATATATGTCAAAATTTATTAAAATTTTACACACTTAATCCATGTAACGAAATTTTTAATAAAATTTTTTTCAAACTATTAATTTTAATTTTATTTAATTATTTTTAATAAAAAATTTTACAAATTTTACTTAAAAAATTTTCCGTTTAACATGCGTATAATTTAAGCATCAAATTCAAATCAGTCCTAAACAAATTCTAGATTTCCTTTTCATGTGATCTGATGGCCCATTGGATTACCACTTACACTTTTCAAAAATTTTTTTAATCAAATTTACGGCCCGTTTGAATACAAAGCCCATCCGTCCATCGGATCCCAACTTGTACTACATGGGGCCTGGGCTGGTCCCCCGCACTAGCCATTCCCAGACTTCCACGTAAGCCCAAACTTTTCAGCTACTCGTCGTTCAAGTTTGAAATCCCGTTCGTTAAGGGACCACATTGTAACTTTGAAATATTTTGGGACTATTTACCGAATAAGCAAAAGTTTTTTCAATTTCAAAAACAAGCGGGCCTTATTTTTCTCTGCAGACTCTCAGTCGCCACGATCCAAATCCAAAGCTATCAGCTTCGATTTATGAGTGATTAATTTTTTTTTCTAATTTTCATTTTTGAAATTGGATCTTTCACGTTCAACAATGTCGAGAGACGCTTCCAGCTCTCGATTCATCTCTAAAATTGCAAATGAGAACGAGTTCGAAAACTCACCGAGTTCGGCTCACTTCCCACCTCCGAGAACTCCGCTCAACTCAATTCCAGATCCGTCTCAATGCCAGAAAGATTCACAAATTCAAGACGAACACGATTTGGATTGCAAGGACAAATCGGAATCTACTAGAACGCTTCATAAAACCCCGAGGTTTACAAGTCGCCATGGGAAGCTGCATTCAGAGCCTAACTCCGTTCAGAGTACCCCGGCAAGGAGTGGTCCACGGTTTTCACTGGGTGGCGGAGGAGGACCTTTTGTCGCAAGTAGAGTTAGTCAAGTTTTTGGGGGAAGAGGTGGAGTGAGCTCCAGTTCCTCTTCTAGGGTTTCGAGAGGGATTTCGATGATCGATAATTCCAATTTCGCGGTTGAAGCTTCACATTTCGAGCTCATTGAGGATCCTTCCTTTTGGAGTGATCGCAATGTGCAGGTTTTTGTGCATGCATCTAATTGATGTTTAATTATCATTTAATTTGGGAGTTACGCTTTCCATCTGCTTATCGATGTTGAATTTTAGGTGTTGATAAGAATTCGACCACTTAGTACGATGGAGAGGGTTTCGCAAGTATATGGTCGGTGTTTGAAGCAGGAAAGTGCACAAACTTTAGTGTGGCTTGGACATCCTGAGACCAGATTTACCTTTGATCATGTAGCTTGCGAGACCATACCACAGGTTTCTTAACTTAACACCTAGCAATCTTATTTTTCTGTTTAAAAGGGAAATTTTGTATAATTTGCATGTAGAGTTATGTGGATGTTTGCTTGTATTTGGTGTAGGAAAAGCTATTCAGAGTAGCTGGACTACCCATGGTGGAGAATTGCATGTCTGGGTATAACAGCTGCATGTTTGCTTATGGTCAGGTAAGTTATTCTGGGGTTTTTTGTATTTAAGGTTTGTGCTTATAGATTAATATCCTTTGGGAATGAATGAATGTTGGGGTAGGTGTTGAGCATTCTTAATCATTTTGCCTGCAGACTGGTAGTGGCAAAACATATACCATGATGGGTGAGATATATGAGGTGGAAGGTCAGCTCAGTGCAGATTGTGGAATAACTCCTCGTATATTTGAATATTTATTTTCAAGGATTAGAATGGTGAGAATGTGATTTCCCAATCTGTTAAACTTATTCCGTTTTTATACTTTTTTGGGAAATATTTATTAAAATTTTTATGTGTAGGAAGAAGAGAGTAGGAAGGATGAGAAGTTGAAGTTCAGTTGCAAATGTTCCTTTCTAGAGATTTATAATGAGCAAATAACGGATCTTTTGGAGCCTTCATCAACTAATCTGCAGGTAATTCAAAACTTTTCCTTTTGATTCATGTGGTCAATCCACACATTAAACTATAATAGGTCATAGAGCTGATTTTCCTGCTGTAGCTCAGAGAAGACTTGAAGAAAGGTGTATATGTGGAAAATCTTATGGAATATAACGTGCGGAATGTTGATGATGTTCTCAACCTTCTGTTGCAGGTAATATATATGGTGGAAATTTGTACTTCTTCACTACTCACCACGTATTGAGCGGGTGCAAATGATTGTTCTGACTTCTGATTTTTCTATATGCAGGGTGCTGCAAACAGAAGAATTGCAGCAACCAACATGAACAGTGAGAGCAGCAGATCCCATAGTGTTTTCACTTGTATCATTGAAAGCCGTTGGGAGAAAGATTCTATGTCCCACTTTAGATTTGCAAGGTTAAATTTAGTGGATTTAGCTGGTTCTGAAAGGTAATTAAGCTCATTGGATCAACTTTTTCAATTTATGTACTTTTGCATGCTAAAATAATTTGCTTTAAAATTTAGGCAGAAGAGTTCTGGTGCAGAAGGAGATCGTCTGAAAGAAGCTGCAAACATAAACAAATCTTTGTCAACTCTTGGGTAATTAACCTTAGATCTTTTACTCAGTCTGGTTGCTTTGAATATGTTAGTTGTACATATTCCATGCAATGCTATGATATCTTTTCTATGTTCTTATTTCATACTCAAGTCATTTTGGTGAATGTGCTAAGGCATCACATATGTTGTTTTTCTGCTGTCAGTGAGGCAGTTTCAAACCAGCTTTTATGTGGAGTCTTTTTGACATTGATCTTAAGCCAGATATGAGCCCTCTTGTTATTGTTAATAACTATACACTATTTTCTCCCCTCTTCCAGATTTGAAGCAATTAATACTCATGAATGTGTTTATACATGATACCACAAAATTATTGTGCACTGTGATGTCTTGGTAATTGAAGCCATAATTAAAGGAAGTTTAGTTGTAGTCACAAAAAAAACATAAAAAGTTTAGTTTCTATTAGGGATCATTCAGATTTTCACTGGTTGGCATTTTCTTGACATTAATTTCGATTGCCAAGTCACTTTAAATGTAAGGTAGACAGCAAAGAAGCAGTTGAAATTCTCTAAGGTGGAAAATGCACACAAATTATTACTATGTAGATGGTTGGTCAACGAGTATTCCTAAAACACCTTCTGAATTTGATCTTATTCATGAATCACGAATGATAAAAGTATATGTTCAATGAAAGCCTAAATTGAGTGTAAGATGGTAGTTGTCATTAACATTTCATATGTTCAAATTAAATCCAGAATTTGATCTTATATATTCATTTTTAGTTTTAATGCATTCTAAACGGAAGGTCTGTGTACAATTAATTTATTTGTTGGTCTGTTTTCACCATTTTAGCCTTGTAATAATGTCTCTGGTGGATCTGGCACATGGGAAACATAGACATGTTCCTTACAGAGATTCTCGGCTGACATTTCTGCTTCAGGTTAGAAATTGAAAGTGCTCTTAATCGAAGATAATTCTGTTATCTTGATATCTCACTTAAAAGGTTTCAAATTTTGATGACATGGAATGCAGGATTCACTGGGTGGAAACTCAAAAACAACAATTATTGCAAATGTCAGCCCATCCATTTGGTCTGTTCAACAATTAATTTTCCTTTGCCATAACATATAAAACTTTTTGTTTTGGCTTCTTCTTCTTCTAATGTAACTTGGTTCTTTCTTTTCTTGCAGTGCTGCAAATGAAACTCTAAGCACACTGAAGTTTGCTCAGCGTGCCAAACTTATTCAGAATAATGTACGCACTTCATATGCTTGCAACTTAAGAAATCAAAATTGCTCATATCTATTTGTCTTTCATGCTGGTATGTCTTAGGAAAGTTTCAAATTATTTGATTTCTCATTAACCTTTTCTTTTTTCAGGCTAAAGTGAATGAAGATGCTTCAGGTGATGTTAATGCACTGCAGCAACAAATCCAGCAATTAAAGGTATGGACTAGCCACAAATCGATTCTTTCTCAATGTTCTCAAACAGTTAAGCTGAACTGTTTATCATCTTAAACAGGGCCAACTGTTCTCCTTGTTGAAGCATCATAGTTTCCCCAACTCTCCAACTAGCTGTGTGCCAAGTTTTGAAGAATTGAAAATGGCAGACTGTTCTGGGAAAAGTGAATACACTAGACAAAAAATGGCAGATTGTAGGATACAAAACATCCACAAGAACAAGGTGACCTTTTATGGCCATTTTATTAACTTACTTCATAAATGTGATATGAAAAATTTTGCATCTAATCAATACTAATGAATGCCTAGCAGATAAAATGCATGGAAGCTATTTTAGCTGGTTCCATACGAAGAGAAAAAATGGCAGAAACAGCAATCCAAAAATTAGAGGCAGAAATTGAGCAAATAAACCGCTTGGTATGTCTTATTCTAAGGATCAATTCTTAATTGTTTATAAGGGATGGTCTCCGGGAATTATATTTATCAATTCAGATGAAGTAGTAACATGAACAGGTTACTTAACAGTCAAGCCATCTCTTGCAGGTTTGTCAAAGGGAAGAGGATGTTCAACGTACTAAAATGATGCTTAGGTTTCGGGAGGAGAAAATAAAAGATCTTGAATTGTTAGCAACTGGCCTAATATCAACCGAGGAGTATCTCATGGAGGAAAATCGAGCTTTGAAGGAAGAGATTCGATTGCTTCAGACAAAAATTGACAGAAATCCCGAATTGACACGTTTTGCTTTAGAGAATATTAGACTTCTTGAACAGCTGCAAACGTAAATCTCTTCTTGTCACTCTGTCCCATCTGTTGATTCCGTGACTCACTTTACATAATTTTTTATGGTAGATTTCAAAATTTTTACAAGCAAGGAGAGCGAGAAACATTGCTGGGTGAAGTTTCAGAACTGCAGGACCAGGTAAGGGGAGGGTAATTTTTTATTGCAATTTCAAATTTTTGGGTCGATGATAACAGACTAAAACTTTTTCTTGACATGCAGCTTCTAGAAGTTCTTGAAGGAAAGAATAGATTCTCCACTAGATATGAGAATCAGGTTGAATGCACAAATTTACCATATTATTTATCTTATGATTGGTATTTTATAATCTTTACTTTCTCTTTCATATTGATTCTGAACTGATGAGGTATGAGTTCCAGGATGGGAACACCGTGAAGGAGTTGGAAGATTGCAGGAATATGAATTCCAAACTGATGAGGTATTTAATAAATCAATGCACTTTATCCTTGGTCTTGCTTGTTGGTTCGCTCTGCATGAGTGGGACTTATTTTTCTGGTTGGCTCCTAGTGGCTGAAAATGAAGCCATTGGTGGCAACTCTCTAATTATACATTAAAGGAAACAAATTATTTTGTGGTTCTATCTATTTGCCTAAGCTGTCTCCAGATGGTACTTTTTTTTCTTTTAATGAGTATCGAGAGTATCAGTTGTCAATGCCTTTTATATGGTTTATCCGTGGTGGATCAATCATTTTAACTTCTTCCATCTACAGTTTTCATAGTTTCTTTTCTTTTCTTTTGGTCTTTTCTTATGGATTGAGTGGTCATAACAATAATGCTTTAACTCATTAAAGGTTTGTCTTCAATTTCCTACTCTGTTTCTTTTAATCTCATTAAAGTTTTATGACTTCAGGGAAGTAGACGAGCTGCAAATGGAACTGAGAAAATACTTGAACTGTAGTCAAGCAGCATCTGACTCTGTAAGAACAACTATGTACTAGTGAATGAAGAGTGAGATAGGTTAATCTATGTCCTGAGGTTGCTTATACTAGTTCCATCCTTTGTAGGTTGCTGATTCTCCCTCCAAGGATCATGAGGAATGCAGGCAAACAGATAAATATTCATTGGTAAGAAAAATGCAAATTCTGTCTATTGCTTCATGTTTAATTAATTAATGGCATATTTTATGGAGTAATTGGTATCTCTCTGTCGTATTTGAATTCTGGTTCCTTTTGTGCACACGGCTACTAATACAATACCCGTAGATGCATCAAAGAGAAAGACCAGTATTTTTTTATTTTATTTTTGATTAAGAAATAAGGGGTTCCTGGGCTTTACCCAGTACATCACGTCCTTGGGCCGGTCCGAGCTGGCTTATCTATGTCGGGCCTAGTGAATTCATGGGAAATTACCTTCCCACAGCCTCCCAGTGTATTTGAATCCAGGCAACAAAGAGAGGAGCACACTCTCTTTGCCACTTGAGCCAACCATCTGTTGGCAGAGAAAGACCGGTGCAAGTACTGTGTCAATGGCTCAAGGCAAATCTATGCCCAGCTGTAGAGGAAACTGCACAACAGAAGCATATAGATATATATTATATTTCAAACTTATTATTTTTTTTCAATTTAACATTTACTTTTCAATTGGAAACTATCTTACAGGTTGAAACAATATCAGTCTATAGTGACTTTGGAGATGAGATAGCATCCTATTCCCAGAAGCATGATGTGACTTCAGAAAATCAAAATGAGCAGAACATAAATGTCGCTTCAGTTTTGCAACACAGTGTCACTCAAAAGGAGTTGATAGATGCAAGATTGTTAATTAAGGCAATGGAGGCTGAGCATATACACCTACTTAAAGAGCTGCAGCATGTGCAGGAAGAGACCAGAAGATACATGGAAATCATAAGCAATAAAGATAAGCTGGAAAGTGAATATGTTCATAAACTTCAAATTCATTGCCTTGAACCAGATCAGTTAGCATCTAAAACCAAAGGCCTGGTCATGGAGGGTGAACACATTGATCCAAAGGATTTACAGGACAAATTGGATAGATTGACTAAAGACCTTGAGAAAGCCAGATTACTTAATTGTCAATATCAACAGGTTCAGGAATCACAATTATCTTGCCAGCATGAAGCTGAATTAGTGCGTGAACAGGTCGAGACGGAGACAGCTAGAACAATTCTTTATTTGCAGGAAGAGGTTTCTGCACTTCAGTTAGAACTTAATGAGAGACTAGCTTTCATTACTCAAGAAAATATGAGGCTAAGAGATACAATCACTGCTAAAGAGGAGGAAGCAAAGGCAATTTGTGTGGATTGGGAAAAGGCAACTTTAGAACTCACTAGCTTCCTTCTAGATGGTTCTAAATCACTCAAAGATGCCTCTCGGCAGACAGAAATTATTGGTTGTTCATTTCCTCAAATTAACGTTTGGGTTGGTGAACATGTTGAAAGGGCTGCAAGAGTTTGCATTGACAAAGAAGAAAGAATTCTACTTCTGCAGAGGAGCTTGGAAGATGCACAGAGGATGATAGTGGAAATGGAGATGAAGTTAAGTTCGTTGAAGGGAGCGACAATTGCTTTTAATGAATTTCAGCAACAAAGTGGTGATGTAAAAGCAGATGAGGCAGCACGATTAAGCATCTTATTCAACGATAAGACAGATTTGGAAAGAGTTCTAGTGAGTGAACTCAAACTTAAGGAGGATCAGCTTAGCATGGCAGAAAAACGAGCTGATGCTGCTTTCTTGATTGCAAAATGGCTTCTAGATTGCAACAAGGCTGCGTACAGAGATCAAGCTGAGGTGGATATTCCAATCTCAACTCTAGCCACTTCTGGGGGAATGGAAAGTGATGGGATGGTTGGAATGATGGCTTGTATAAAGTTTCAAACAATGGATGATCTTAAGGCTCAAGTGGAGTTGGCAAAGTCTGTAATAGTGGAGTCTGAGAATGTTATTAATACATCTTATGAAGATGCAGAAGTCCATTTTTCCACACTCCAAACAGACATTTCTGAAGCCTGTTTTGTGTACAAGGAGTTGCTTCAGGATTTGCTGAGAGAAATTGTTGACATGAGGAGTAAATTTTTTGAAATAAAAGAGAATTGTAACAATTTTCAGATTTCTACAATCAAATTGCGGCCAGTGGGGGCATCTAACTCTTTGAAGTGTCACCCGCTGCATCAAATAAAATGTGAACTTGCTCAGACAAATGAAATTCTTAAATTAATTAAAGACTGCATTAAAACAAAAGCTAGTATGCATGTCCTCCTGCCCAATGGGGAAGATGTGATTGAAAATGATAGCTGGAGTTCTAATTCTTCAACATCAAGCTCTGATTTCTCAGTTGAAAGTTTTGCTTCTGGAAACCATTTGGGTGGATTGTGCTGCTCCGGGAAGACAACTGAGCTGATGGATGATACAGTATTTGAAGAAGTCTCAGCTCAATCTGATATGCAATTCTCAGAAGAGTCGGTAACATTTGGCCCAAGAAAGGAGTTGTTTAAGGCATTGGATGTTTTCCATAAATTATATGTTTGGTTAATCACAATCCTCAATGGGAATGATGTTGGAGAATGTTCTCACACAGAAGGTACAAATTTACCTGGATTTTATGTTTGTAAAATAAAAACTGCATGAAATACATATGAAATGGGAATTAATGGACGTAATAATATAACAGGGCTTCCTGCTTTTGCTTTGACAATGGAGATTGATGAAGCAGGATCCCAAAATACTGTAAAGGTATGCATTAACTCTAAGCTGTCTGTTTGTTGTTCCAATGGGAAATATTGGTGTATCCATAATGACTTCATATGATATTAAATGTCAAATTTTAGATATAGCACCAGCAGTACAGTTGACCTTTAATTCCATGCAATGTTTTCTGATATACAGGTACTTTCTGATGATAAAGCCAGCCCTGTGGAAAGCTTCTTCCAAAAATTTGAGGAAGCCAATGCAACCATGAAGGAAGCTGATTATATGTTAAATGCATTGTTGAAAGCAAATGAAAACAGAAAAGTGTTGAATGGTACATGGAGGCAAGCGAGTGAAGAACTGATGGTAGAGAAATCAAACCTGATTGATGAACTAGAAAAGCTGAGATCTTCAATAAGTTTGAAAGAAAGGGAGAACGAATTGCTGCAGGATCAATTGCATTATACTTTGGTTGAAACAGCTGACTCAATATCTTTGCTTGAAGGGTGTTTCCAACAAATGCAAAGACAAGTTGAGGAGAAGTTTAAGGTTTTATATTCTGAGATCTTATCTATGAGGCAGGAGGTACTTTTCTCTGTTTGCAACTCAAGATCATCATTTGAAGATATTTGCTCTAGGATGATAGAGCAAGAATTTTCATTATTTGTTTTGTATCAGTGCCATTTTGGAGACTTTATCCGCAGAACCTTAAACTTCAACAACGAATTATGTTATCATTCATTGCAAAGACCAGAACTTCACTCAGTTGTAAATACTTCAGTAGAGAGTCACTCCATTGGTCAAAGTGAAAATGTGGTTCATCATAAGAAAAGTATAGAGGAAAAGGATGAAAGCGAACAACTCAAACAATTAGAAGATCAAGACCCAGATCCCCTACATAATGATTTGATATATGAAAATTTCTCTCTTAAGAAAGAATTGAAAAGGAAAGAAGATTTGTTGGAGGGTTTGCTTTTTGATCTTCACTTGTTGCAAGAATCAGCCTCCAATAGCAAGGAAATCAAAGATGAAAGTAAAAAATTAATGTTGGTTTTGAGGCAAGTTCGCCATGAGCTAGAGACAAAAACAAATCAAATTGATGACTTGTTGGTTCAGCATAGTAAACTTGAAAATGCTCTGGTAATATCAAATTCCAATCTGGAGCATAGTAAAGAAACAATAGATTCTCTCTTACATGAAAATGCTGAGATGAGAATGCTTTTAAAAGACCTCTATCTCAAGAAAGCTGAGGCTGAAGAACAACTGGAAGAACAGAAAGAGGTGGTGAAAGGATTAGAGAAAGAAATTCTTCATTTGAATTTTTCAGTGGAGAAGGACTTACTGTCATCAGTTGAAGGCATTGAGGGGGACTTGAGAAAGGTCACTAGTGAGAGAGATGAGCTCCGTGAAGAAATTTTCTCTCTAAATGATGAACTTGAGTTGGCCCGTGCATTGGCAGATGAAAAAGAAGCTATCGCAGTTGAAGCTCGCCAGGTACATATAAATTTATTCTTTTTAGTATCAAATTATGTAGGCAGTGTTCCTTATAATGAACTTGGATTTTTTTTTCTCTAGGAGTCAGAGGCAAGTAAAATATATGCTGAACAAAAGGAGGAGGAGGTCAAGATCCTTGAGCATTCTGTTGAGGAACTTGAATCTACCATAAATGTCTTGGAGAAAAAGGTTAGGATTTTGAAATTTTCATCTCTGTATGAATGTTCAGTGACATTGCTGAACTGATAGAGTTCAGATATTATTTTAACGGTTAATTATTTTCTTGTCCTTAATGGAAAAATGCAACTTAGCTTTGCACTAATTGTGTACACTTTTATTGCTCATATGCTTTTTGCAGTCTCGGTTAGTAAATCATCTTTCCCTAGTGTATTTGAAAAGTCTGACATGTTATGCTATTTTTAGGTATATGAACTGGATCAGGAGGTAGAGAGGCATCGGTTGATCAGAAATTCATTAGAGCATGAGCTCCAAGCATTGAGAGATAGATTGTCAAAAGTAGATAACTTCAGTGACATTGTGGATTCAGTCAATTCAAATGCTGAACAGAATGAAAATCTTATATCTAGGTCAAGACCACCATTTGCTTTCTTGAAATGATTCCTGGTTGCTTCTGCTGCTTTTTTTTTTTTTTTTGGGTATTCAGAAAGTGGCTTTGATGCAGGCAAATGCAGAATAAATTGCTAGAGCTCCATGAGGCACATGATCGGATAAGAATTCTAGAGAAGGAAAAAGCAGAGCTGAGTAGAGAGGTGGATTCCTAATTTACTTCCTAGTGATTGCATTCAATCGGATAAGCTTTTGAAAAGTATAATATATTATTATAATATTATTTCCTTTCTTGTATTTTAATGAACTTTTTCAAATGATTTCTAGATTGAACAATGCAAAGAGTACATCTCGGAACTTGTATTGCATTCTGAAGCCCAGGCATCACAGTACCAACAGAAGGTATCGGTTATGCTATTGACTATGAACTCTTAAGGTTTACAAATTGTATTTCTACCAGTTTTTATTATGCATCAGATTCTTAACCAGGAGTCCACTTAGGTAATTAGTTCTGTGAGATTTAGAGTATTCTCTTGGGAGCTTTTATTCCTTCATATTTTAATACTTGAGCAATTTGAAATATGAATTCCATAGCTCAAACTTCTGTTACGCTCCCTTCCCATTGGAAAGAAAAGGATCAAGGGCCTTTAAAGAGGTAGGATACTGTTCTACGATTTGGCATCAGGCTCAAACAAACTTGTGCTCTCGTGCTTGTCAGTCAAACACTATAACATTTAACAACCTATCATCTACAAAGAATTCCATTAAGATATTCCATACTGAAAAACAACACTAGCAGTCTAATGAAGTCAGAGGATGAAAAGTAATAACAGGTTCCTTTTGTTAGAAGTTCTGTTAGCCCTCGGTGGTCTTCCCTCATCCTTTTCAATTATAGAATTTGTCTCTCATGTCAAACCTTTTGTTATACTGCATCGTTTTTATCCCCTCTTTTTGAACAGTACAAGACCTTGGAGACCATGATTCGTGAAGTGAAAACAGATTTGCCTACTTCAGCCTCAACAGTATCAATATCAGACAAAAATGAGAAGACCTCAACAAGAAGCAGGGGTTCAAGCTCACCATTCCGGTGCATTTCAAGTTTGGTACAACAAATGAATTCTGAGAAGGATCAAGAATTGTCAATGGCCAGGCTTCGTATAGAAGAGCTGGAAGCAGTGTCAGCTAGTCGGCAAAAAGAGTGTATATATATATATATTATAATAATTGGCTTTTAAGGAAACCTTCTGAGCCTATCATTAACATGCAATGAGGAGCAATAAATTTGATTCCTAATTTAACCTTGTAGCAATGTCATATTGTATCTAAAAGAGGTCTAGTTTATTAATTCTATAGCATCTTTCCCTCTCTCTCACCCTGTGAAAAAGACGGCTAAACACTAAACCTCACTTGCATGCATCTTTCTGTGATGGAAGTTGGATTATTTGTAATCAATCAAGAAGTTTCTAACTCATTCTATACTGGATCAGATATATATGCTGAACGCTAGGCTAGCTGCAGCTGAAAGCATGACACATGATGTCATCAGGGATTTACTTGGCGTCAAATTGGACTTGACTAATTATGCAGTAAGATTCAGATTATTGCCTATTAAAGCATGAATATTTTTAGGTAAATTGCTCATTTAAGCATTGTTTTTGCCTGTGTGTTGCAGAACTTAATAGATCAGCATCAGGTTAAAAAATTAGTGGAGGAGGCTCATCAACTAGCAGAAGAGCTCCTTGTAAAGGTATGCATGACCAAAGGTTGAAATCATATTTTTACTGAATAGTTGTAGTCCTAATTTATATTTCATTTCATGTTTTAGGAGCAAGAAATTTTCAACTTACGAAAGCAGGTTAATGATCTCATGGAGGAAAAGGAGAGGTTAGACCAGTATTTATCCTGTAGAATCTTAGAATTGGAATCCTGACTTGGTCGACATTATATAACTCATGTCAGAGAATGAGTAAATAATCAAGTATTATATGTAAAAATGTGTTTCTTGTCCTTGCAGTTGCTTATCTGAAATAAATAAGAAAGATGCAGATATACTCACTGCACAGTTGTCTTTAGAGCAGCATCAACAGCGAGATCAGTTGCTTTCTGCACAGAATGAAATGTTAAAGGTAATTTCACATGATGTTTAAGTTTTTAATCACGTTTCTCCTCATATACATTCCCTATTTTTTCCCCACAGATGGACAAGACCAATTTGATAAAGAGGGTTGCCGAATTGGATGAGTTCATAAAAGCATTTGAAGGAACATCATCATCATCAAGTAACCAAAAGCAAATAAACCAGATACTACAGAATAAGGTTGGAGCTGATATGAGCACACATTTGTTACCGTTTATAATTCTTAAACCAATTTTCTCAAGTTTTCTTGATCGAACAGGAGAGTGGTTCATTAAATCTGGGTGGTGTCGCTTTTGGGAAGAGGCTGGCACATTCTGAAAGGCTTCTTTCTCGAGTGAATAATGAACTTACACAATTTCGTAAAACTAGTGGCCGTTCATTGCATGATAAAACAACTGGACAAGGCTTTGAAGCAAAATACAGGTAGGTGGTGTATTAAATAATTAAAATGCAACAATCAAATCATTGAAGGTTTTATGTAGTCAGATTTATGAAATTATGATGGCTAACAGGAAGCAGAAGGATTAAAGCAATTGGCATAAAAGCTCCCATTGCGGTACATTTCCATTCTGTCAAAGGTGACGGTCGCCATTTGTGCCTTCCTAGCAAAGCCCGGTTTATCCTACATTTTTATCACATCAAATTGTTTTTCCGTCTTCGATTCACTTTTCTTTCCCGGCAAGAGAGGGGAAATTCAAGTATATTTGTAGAGCCTCTGATTTATTCACTTTTCTGTGCGTTAATTACGTGTAAATGAAATTCGTTTGTCTTTTGCCTTGCTTGTTTCCTTATTACACGCAATTTTACTTAGATGTCATTTGCCTCAAGCTTGTAAATAAGCGTTGATCGGGCTTATTGTTGCATTTCTTATCATTACCAAAAATCAGGTTGCAGTATCAACCTTACAAAACTTTCAATGCTTAAATGTTGAGGAAGGAAAATTATTGAATACTACAACAATGCAACATTGCTTCCAGGTTTTCCTCTGGCATGAAAGATTCAAAGATAGAATAAAAATCAGATATATTTTGTTTTTGTTAGAAAACAGTTTGGTTTGTTTACCACTGAGTAGGAAGAAAACAGAAATGGAAAGGAAAAGTTAAAAGGAATAATCCACTTAAATGCCACTATTAAGTATTAAATTTGCTTCAATTAGAGTAACTTGGAGCACTTCGACAAATCTCATCTATAAAGCTTAAAAGCAAGGATCTGTTCCACAGGAAATTTGATTACCGTTTACAAGGGGGGAGAAAAAGAAAATCAGAAAACATAATTTACAATCCCTTCTTTCCTTCCCCTTGTTACCCCCTTCTATCCTATATAAAAGTTGTTGCAGACAAAATCGTAATGTTAGGGCAGTAGTTACCAATAGCTGTTATATACCAATTAACTGGCCTGCACAAAAAGCTTTGGTTTTGACGAGATTAGCTGGCACTGAGGGATATCATTGATCGATCACCCACAAAATGCGAGCAAATTTTCCTCTTTTCTTTCATGGCTTTCCACATTGCTGCTGCTATCACTGCTTCCTTTCTCACTCACCTGTGCACCAAGAGAAGGCATTCAGCTGTAAACTTCAAACAGCATTTACATTCAAATTAATACAAGAAAAGGAAAACAATTACCTTTGATTCTCCAAATTTTGTAGTTAGCCTCATGTACTGCTCACGTGCTTCTTGATCACGAGCCATGGACTTTACTCTTGCTAGGGCTTTCTCAATTCCATGAACCTTCTGTTGTCGACCAAGTCGTAAAAATTCATATTCATCGCCTATCTCAATCTCTGGTACTGCATTTTCAATTGACTTTTGCCCACGAAATCCTCTTAGACCAGCACCTTTACGTCTCCAACGCAGAATTACCTTTTCAACTATACTGACAGACCAAACAACCTTTTTATATTGTTTACGAACTTGATGTCCCCTTACATGAGCCTGAAAACATAATAAGCAAAATTAATTTGTGAAGACTACCTTATATCCAGAGAATAAAAGAAAAAAAAAAAAGGCAAAAACATGCAAGGCAGCTTTGGAAACTTATTATCAAGAAATCTCCTTTGCCGTTTCTCTATGCAAGATTTTTCTTTTTCAAACTTATCATCCATAAGCCTACCTAATATAAAAATAGATTGATGTAAAGTACCTGAATTTTCACAATTCGATTACGTATCTTCAAAAATTCCTTCCTTCCCTTCCAGCCACGATACTTCTGTTGGATCTTTGCAGCTGCAATGTGCAAATAGTCCCCAAAATGACTCATCTTTTGAAGCCTGTTCAATGACCCAAGAATGCCTAGTTCAAGAGAAACTTCTGATATATCATCATTGCCTTTAGTCAATTGTCTGTAGTGAAATGAACGAGCCCGAAAAGCAGCTTGAATTAGAGCAGCTGCATGAGCAGATTTTCTAACAGCAGCAAGGGACCCTTTCAATGAGCAATGCTCATCTAATGGCCCATTAGATGGAGCAATTTGAGCAGCAGTCTTAATGGCCCTTTTTGCTGCTGTAGTTGCATCATCATCATTGCCTACCACATTTTGGTTAACAGTCAATGAAGAAAGATGGGTGATTAAATCAGCTTCGGCCAGGTATCCAGCTATTCCTTTGTGCCCTCTACTTGATGCTAAATCAGCTGCAGTTCTTCCACCAGGGAAATTTGGTGTGGGATCATCAACAGCACCAGGGGATGCACCCAGTTTAATTAGTGCAATGACAGTTTCTTCTCTGGAGACAGTTTATAAAAAAAAATAAAAAATGAATGACCATCAGCACAAAGCCATCCAAACCATTTTTTTTTTTTACCTGAGATGATTCCAGGGCAGTGATATGCATCTTTTTAAAACTAATACAAATTCATCAAAATAGAATATACAGGGATAGGTGACAGTAATTAGATATATGAAACAAATATAAAAACTTGACCTTCCAAAGTATGATGCCCAGTGAAGCGCTGTTCTACCTCGTGCATCTCTAAAATTGGGACTTATCCCTGCAGCAACTATAGGGCCCATTGCCCACTCATAACCAAGAGAAGCAGCCAAGTGTATTACTCCTTGACCTTTGTCATCCAGGACATATGGACCTTTACCATCTTCATGAACTTTGTATAGCAGCCACCCACAAAGTCTTTCCTTTAGCAAATTCTGAATCAATCCCTCTTTATATTGCATACAATCATTTGCACTTGCTACTCCCATGGAATATATGCTATTTTTCAACCCACATTTATCACATTTCTCAACAGAACAATCCATCCATTTTCTCCCTGAGCCAATATATAACAATTTTGCTAGACGAACTTGCAGGTGTATTTCCTCTTCTGCTGTACTTTTAATAGCCGAACCAAATGAAAATCCAGGTGGCTTTTCGCGATATTCAAACTCTCTTACCTCACTGCATGCCAACCTGTTGCTGCAGGTGACATAAAATGGAACACGCCCAGGAGCATGAGAAGGAACTTGACAACGGATAACATTGTTAGTCAAAACCTCAGCAGAAACTTCAATTTCACCAAACATACAGCCCCATTTAGCAGCACTAGAATGCTCCTTGCTTTGCAAAAAAATTCCAATGAGTAAAACCTAAAACAGAAGAAGCATTTATTGATAAGCATGATTTCATGAAAACAAATGGAAAGTGCTTTCACAAAATATTACAGGCAAATAATTTTTCTGAACTAAATATATACCTTTGTTTCTACACCCGAATAAGCCCACTCAGGTGAGAAATCAACAATGCTAAATAACTGTTCCTGAGAAAGAGAAGGACCCAACGAATCAATATCCAACTGCATATGGTGTGATAAACTGGATACTTCCTTGTCATCAGTCTCAGTTTCAAGTGTATTCCAATAATTGGCAGAGTCAGAAGCCATCAAGGAATCATCACAATCTCCACCAATTTCTTTATCCATCCATCTTCCAAAGCTATCAAGCTTTTTCAGCTCTACTGGTTCATCATTATTTAAACCGCTGTCTTTGGGTTCATTCTCAATTTGCGTGGAAGAGGAGACAACCTTTTGCAGACCAGAATAATTCTGAGACTGCAGACCTATAAAATTGAAATCATACGCCTGTTGCACCTGCAGGAAGTCAACTGTCACTTGATAAATTTTCAACATACCTTGAAAAACATACAAGGGAAATGGATTGACCTAGGACATCATACAAGTGTCAATAGGTGATAAAATGATGGCTAAAGTTAAATGGCCCCCAAAGAACAGTATTACATTAGTCATTTGTGTTTACTAGTATTGAAACTGGAGTTGCAAAGAGCAATGAATAGCTATACAACGTCAAATACAAATTGCATACATCTCTAAAGCATACACCGTGTATAGATCTGAGTTCTAAGACCCAAAGTCATTAAAAACTATGAAGACTATGAAATGTAGATGTCCTGTAAACTGGGCATAACAGACCTGAATTAATTTCTGTGGAGATTCTCCAACTGCTTGGACATCTACAGGACTGATTAACTTATCTCCACATGTTACAACATCTGAGACATCATGCGGTCTCACCTGTGCTTCCTTATGAGTTATAAAATCAGCTGCAGTAGGCCGTTCAACATAGAGTTTATGGTCTGACATGCTAATGGTATTTGTGATTGACTGATGGATGTCAGGCCAGAAATATGACTCAGTGCCATGATTAGAATTAGATTCTGTAAACCATGAACTGGGAGGATTCCTTCTTGACTCTGGAAAACCTGAAAAATAGAGGATGATCAGCAAAGATCTTTGAAGATCCTAAGGTTGGTAAAATTAAAGAAGTACTAAAGACCTGTATTTTAGGGTGCATGATTATTTTCGTTATAACATGTTCAATTATTATTTTAAAGTTGATAACAACATATTTTAGATTCTGATGTGTAATTGAACTTACCTGCAACTTCAGGATCCACTGAAGCAGTACAAGATATGGAACCATGTATAGGTTGGACAGCAGAACATGCAGTTGGATAATCCCCAGAGTCAACATCCTCAAATTCAGAAGACAATGTTTGCCCATTCCAATCAAGTCTGCTTGTCGATACGTGAGATGTCTGAATAATAGCAGCGGATGAATTTTCATGTGCTAGGGAAGGAGTGGAACCAGTTTGCAGGCTTACACTCTGAGATCCTGTATCTGCTAGTAAACGAGAGATTCCAGATCTGTACCCCTGCAAAGCATGAATTCATCACATTTAATACAATGAACATGTGACATCTAAAAATTCAAACCAAAGTCAATTTAAATCTCTGAGTTAAAACACGGACACTCAATCATTCCAGGACCAAGACCTTTGTAAAACAGCATTTCTTGAGTACACAAGGCACAAAATTCTTTGCAAGGTGTTCATTTTAGCTTAATCCCCAGGGGGGGGGAGAGAGAGAGAGAGAGAGAGAGAGAGAGAGAGAGAATGGTACCTCTTTTACTTCTCTGTAATGAACAAAAACAATATGCTCCAACTGCCTGAAAATAGAAGGGTGACAAATGAAAATACAATAAAACATTGAAGAAGAGAGGAATGGATTTTCAATAAAGGATCACTCTAACATATATACAATAAAAGAATAAATTGAATGATATTACCCAACACAAGAGAAATGGGTGAGACAGAAACAAGAGATTCCAATGTCAATATCACTGAAAAACAGTTTTGGGGGAAATATAGTCAGAAAACTACTCACCCATCAAGCATCCAATAGCAACGCCGCTGAAAATTCTCATTAAACTGCCCATGAGCATAGTAACAATGAAGAACATCCACGCTTCCAATCTACAAAAGTCAATTACAGAGCAAGTTATTTAAAAAGTTACTTCATGAAATCTACAGAAATCACTTTGAGATAAAATATGTCCTTAGAAATTAATGCGCTCAATGTAAGAATATAGACTAGGGATGTGAAGCATAATTTAATCTATTTTTTTGGGTTTTAGGTTTTTGTAAAAATTTTTTACCTCTTAATTCCATAAATATAGACATTACAGAATGGGCGCGTATAGAAGCTCATTCACTTCCGTGTAAATAATAGCACTATACCATATCTATATAACAGAAAGTGCACCATAGAAGATGTGCATACACATACGGAGAACAAATAAACAATTTATATGCTGCTGCACTTTTTGTATCATTATTAATTTAAGGTCGAATCTACAACAAACACGTAACAGGGGACTCCGGGGAATTTACATTCATAAGTTAAAAGGTTGGAGATTATGGATAGGAATTAGACAACCCAAAGTTATCTTTTTGCATTTGATGCTTGAAATAAGAAAATTTACAGTCACAGATTTCTTAACCATTCTCCATATTCGTTTAGTTTCCATTGCAGCCAATGTGACAGTAAAATCTTAGATGGTCCAGCAAGTGAACTAAAGCCTTGAGCATTCTAACTGCATTGCTTAGGACCAACCTCTGAAAAGCAAAAACTTACTAATAACAAGTTGAACAGCACACCTTCAACTTTTCATGAGCTTCTTTGACAGTTTTTCCATCCTTCTTCTTCCTCCAATCATGACCATCTTTACGAAAGTATCGAATTGTTTTCCGGTCAAACAGGTACAACGATCCAGCTGAAAACGAATTTTTGGTCACTAATTGAAGTAGCAGCACAAAATTCACGAAAACAATATTGTAGTAGTAATTTAACAAGAAATGATTTTCCAAATTAATGAAAGGAGTAAAGCACAATTATCAATCATATAGAGCATAGCAGAGAAAAGATGGATAAAATAGAGAAACAAATGTAGCAGAATTAGTATTGTATTATTGTACATAATAGGTAGAAGAATAACAAGCTGATATGGGCATAAAAGAAATTAGTGAAGACCTCACCTGAAGGCTTAGTGGGCGGCTTGTCTGATAAACGAAACTTGGGGTAGTTGCTAAGTATTTCACACACTTCAACAGGACGAAGCCAACGATGTTGTGCTTCTTGCAATATCTGCTGAAGGTCTGCCGAATTCCATAGAACAATTAAATTAGATAAATAAAACATGCAAACAGTCATCAGCAAAGGAAAGAATACAAGGCAAGACATGGAAGAAGAACAAACCCATCTAAAGCAAATATGCAAAAATTACAGAAATTCATTGGAAATAAATAGTTGTTTGAAAAGTAAAGCATGTAAAGCACAAAGGGCATAAATGATGCAGATTCATTGTGCCCTTAACATACAAATACATGTTGGTTTCACGCAAAAGAAGGTTTTTTTTTTTTTCTTTTGTGGAAAAAAGAAGGAACTTGAATGATTAAAATGGCATTGCAATCACACAATGGGAAAGGTAAAAAGAGACCTAATTGTTGATTAGGGAGGCATCTTCTGGCTTGAGCCATTGTTAATTAGCCATCAAAACTCTCCAAATAAACCCCAGATTTCATCACCCAATACCAGAAGCCAATAGAGAGAGAAAGGGTTCTTCTTCAAGAGATTTCAACAACCCCCAAAATCGAAAGCTTTATTAAACAAAAGCAAAGAAAAGACAGAAAATTTCAATAATAATCGAAGATGGAGAGGCTGGAAATGGAAAAAGAAGAGGAAGAGAAGCGCGTGAATTCCACTGATGATATAAAGCGTAAAGAACGATGAGATTGAGAGGGCTAAAGTTAAACACCAAAAAGAAGCAGTCAATGGCTTTGCGGATTGCGTTCACACTCGAGTTCGGGTCTGAACAAAGGAAAGGATATATATAGACTGACGGGGATTGGATGATGACGTGTCTTCAACGGAATTCCCCCAGCTTAGCAAGCTTTTGTTTCGTACCTGCACTTGCATTAAGCGCTGATGGACCGGTCCGTTCCGTTCCGTAATTTCCTTTTTTTTTTTTTTGGGAAAAAAAATTGGATGGGATTTTACCTTTAGGATTGTGATCTGCTTGATTTTCTAATCAAAGGGTACTTACAACGACTGCTGTTTCCTGTCTGTATTGATGTTAGAATAACTTAAAAAGTCAGACGTTGAAAATTTCTAAAATAAGGTATGATAAATTGGGTTGGGTGAGAATTATTAAGATGTTAATAGGAAATGGACGCAAGATTTTGAAGTTCCATTTTTGAGATGGGTTTCTGCTGCCCAATTAAATTGTCACCAAATTATATTAATTTCATATGGCAATAACAATAAGTTTGAGAGTGAGAGAAATGGCGAGAAAGGATGGTTGCAATGCTGGCTGAGCCAGAGCTAGCCTCATCTATCAGATTTGATTACAGAATAATAATAGCAATGTCCATCTTTTTCTCAGGACTCCATTATTATTATCCTGAAAATTGTAGTGATGGCAGCTATTCTAATGGGAGATTATCTGTGTTTTTGTCTTGGCCTCTTGGTTGGTAAGTTGTGGTGGTATCTTCTATCAGTTCAGAATAGATATAAACTGAACCTGCGCACCCAGATCACTGAATTTTCGGCTCATCATCAACTTGGTTAATACGCCAGATAAAGGCAATTCAAGTCAACCCGTCCCTGGTTTAAAGCAACCAAATGGGGGGTTACCTAGTTCAACAGTTAATCACCAGATATAGCCTACTCCAGTTGATAGCACTCGCCATTGCACGTGAAAATTGCAAAAAACCTGGAGCACAGTCACCTTCCGAGGACGGAGAAGCATGCACAGGCTCTGAAAATAATCTCACTCTTCTGTCACCTTAAATAAGGTTCCTAGTTGATAAAGAAGATGCGAGGCAATGCACCATATGATCATCTCCATCCCATCCACAAGTTTCAGTGATCAAGTAAACGACATAATTTTTTAAAGATCACACAAGAAGGAAGTAAGACCTTGTCGAATCATAACCTAAGTGGTTCCAACACTCTTCTGCGAAAGATAAGGTCTCAAGTTCAAATCCCCTCCCTGAAACTATCATCCATTTTTCTTTTTCAAAAAGAATGTTCATAAGTTTATTTCGGTTCATGCCAGAGAGGGGAATAGAATGTACTATTATAGGCAATGGCTGAAAGCAATAAAAAAAACTGCTGCAATTGGTTCAGTTATTACAAATGCTCTGAATGTCATAGCCAGATTAAATTTGAATAGCTCATGGCATCATCATACAAACAGCACAGAACTAAAGTTACAATCAGCTACAGCAAAAAGAATTGCACTGCAAAAGGCTCAAGATCCTCATCTTCTTCAATCAGCGTCCACTTCATTCCTTAGCGTTGGTTGCCTTTGAAAGAAAATAAAAAGGAAAAGAAATTAGGCAAATGCTTGAGAAACAAACCATAGACAAATAAGGCAACACCTAGATGCAGTCAAATTATGATTTTTTTTTTTTCAAAGCAGGACTTCTTAGCCAAACCAATTCTGGCTTTTAGCCACTGGAGAATAACCAAAAGAAAAATGTTTGAGAAAAAATTTTTCTCACCTTGGTACAAACATAAATGTAATGGACGTCAGGTTTCTCTCCAAGTACATCTTCCACTGAACTTCCACTCTCCTCCAATCGAACGGGGTTTGTCAATTCCCTTATTGGCTGCTCAGAACTTCCTTCTGATCCAAATTTTGCTGCATGGTAGAGAACTAGATTAAAAGCAGCATATAAAAAAGATTGGGCATTACTACTTTAACTATACTAAAAGCACATCAAACATTCAAGGCTGCTATATAATGGAGGATGAAACTGGTTTCGAGGCTTAAAGATCTAGTTAATCTCAGGGATCCTGTTTTTATTCTGGTGTGGTTTATGCTGTGGTTAGGTTGGTAGGCATTTGTAGTCTCAAGCTTTCAGGCAGTAAAGTAAGATAACTCAAAATATTTGCTGTTCTACTTATATCAATTGATAAAATAAACATAGCAATTCTGTCCCTAGTCTTCCACAACTTGTGGCTATTCTTTCTTTAACAATATTCATTTGAATGGAGTTGTGAGCAAAAATGCGATCTTATGCATCGTAATTGTTAACTGGGTAATTCAAAAGTCACTCTTCCTTGTCATTTAGACCAACTAAATAATTGAATGCCATTTGTTTTTTTTTTTTTTTAAATTTTTTTAGGCATCAACATTCCATAATAAGCTCTATAAATCTTGTGATAACTCAACAGTGCGGCATCCATATATATCAAAAGTAATTCCTTTACATGCTCTATATTCTCTAAGTGATCAAATACAAATTCTGGGCAAGATGGATCATTCAGCTGCCACTAGTCAGTACCTCCTAATCCCCGTTACAAAAGGGATTATGGCAAACATGCAAAGTATTCTGAATCAAAACTTGAAAATATCAATCCTTCAACTACACAAGGCAGAAATGTATGGTATCAACAAAATAATAACCAGAATGGGAATTCAATCAACCTATCACATGCAGTTTTATGCTCCACATGCATGACTCTTTCAGCAAGTCAAGACGATATACTGGAGCTCCATACGTTATCTGCAGCACTTACAAGAATAGTTAGGGAAGCGGAAAATTAACTGCAAACACACGTTGCAATCTGAAAGCAGGAAATGCGAATAACTCAAATCCATGCTTAAGAAAAAGGTTTTCAATTGAACCGCAGAAAGGAAGAAATGCCACATGAGCACAACACAGTTTTATGCAAAGGAATAAAAGGGGAGTATAGTTACCAGAATATAGACTCCTTTATCCTTGAGGACCCTATAGTTTGTTATCAACTGCTTCAATATATGGTGAACGGATCAAGAAAATCCATAAAAGGAAAACAGTAATGTAGACAATTCTAGTAACATTCAAGGATTATTATACCTCCAGACTTCCTGAAGCATTTGAGTAGCATTCTGTCGAGAATTATTTCCACACTGCACACAAAATTTACCATCAGCTAATTATTATCAAATCAGATCTCAACAAAGACAGATGCGCTACAATTCATAACACTCACCAAGATAGAATCAAGAGTGCCTGAAACACCATTTCAAATGAAAATCAGTAAAGTTTTGAAGCCAACAATCATCGAATTAACAAATTAAACAAAATGACACCTTTATCAATAACTGCATCAAAGGAACCAGCTTGAAAAGGACTCATATCTCGTACATCCAATTTAATATCTACAAAATCATTCAAGAAATAACAAGAAGAACATGTCAAAAACCATTTCATTTCCTCGTATTTTTTTTCCTTTTGTAAAAAGTTTGCCCACGAAGTCATTCTTTAAGGATACATTTTAGCTGTTGACGGTTGGAGTACTTAGTTTGCATAGCTTCGATGACCACAGAGGATATATCAACGTTGACAACATCCTCGTATCCATCGTTCACCATGTCTTCACTAAACACTGCAAGATGTGGAGTTTTGTTACATAAAAATGAGAGATCTGAAAGAGGTATGCGTTGATTTTTGAGGAGATGGTACCTGAGTTACCGCAGCCGACAACGAGAACGCGTTGATGGCGGTGGGGGACATAAAGGTGGATAAGGGGGGCTAAGGCAGGGTATTTTTGGTACCAATCAAAAGGAGCAGATTCGTGGGCGTAGCGGTTGTCCCAGTACCATGGCTCACCGTATGCTTGAGTTGATGGCGTTCCCAAGGTCATCCTTTCTGCAACTCTGTCTGTTAAAGCTGAGCCGTGAATCGTGATTTATGATATTTGTTGTAATTGGATTTGGATTTGGATTTGGATTTGGAGTTACAAAATGTTGGCAGTTTCGGAGTTGGTGAAATGATCAGCTTGCCGTACGAACACCGTGGACCTTGGCTATCATCCAGATTAAGTACAATGTATTTTGAACACGTGTATTTGTTTTAATCCACCTGATCTTTTGTGTGTTAGAACAGAGAACTTATTATTGTAAGTTTTTCCATTGATTGATTGTCTTAAACTAACTGATGGTCATGTGGACATCAACAGGCTCTACGCTTTAGCTTCACCATGTTAATATCATGTTGAAGAAGTGTTATATTTTTTTCTTTTGTATAGGAAAAGGAAAACCAGGCAGGGATATTTGATATGAATTTCGAATCTTGTTCAGCAGCATCAATAATCATTGGGGTTTAATTGCAATACCTGATTGAATATGCTAAAATGGATGTCGGCAAAAATCAGAGGAAGACAGGGAATACACATGAGAAAACGACTGAGCACTTATAGCAGAAAACAAAAAGGCCCTTAATTAGGCTTTGAACCCTGTTTTTTCTTTGGGTCATAACTCATGTAACTCATAACTAGGTCCAATAATGCAGTACTTGGAATCAGCCAGGAACCCTCAACTCTAAAGGATAATATATGGATGTGGTGGTGGCGAAGTAAGGCTCATCCGGTGATTTACTGATCACATTTTGAGAAATATAACTTATAAGCAAACAATCCCATAAACTTGCTCTAAAAGCATGAGCTTTTTTTATTTCTTTGACGGGAACTGCAAGAAATATGCATTATGCAACTATCTGCCTATATTTTCTTTTATAAGGCAAGCCCAAGAATCAAATAACCAGCAAGCCCAATATAGTATATAAAAAAAAGGATGAGAAGCATAGCGGAGCAGCAAAAAAGGGCATTGAGATTTGGGCTTGAGAAGCATAGTAGAGTATTAAACGGCAAAGAGCGTTGTCTTTTGTTTGGAGGCCGAGGTTGTCTGTAAATCAAAGTTGCAGTTATAGTCGTTGTCATAGCCGATGCTTCTGTCTAGCATGTTAAGTAACCGCAAGAAAAGCAATTGGTAGTTGAAAATGGAGCGAAATTGAAGCCAAAAAAGAAAGGTAGATAGATGGAAGAAAAAGAAACGTGCTTGGAATGCCTTGAACGCCGAATCAAGTCGGATTGGTCGGATCAGCTATTGTTTTGCTATGGCATCTCCGATTCTCCTCTCCCCTTTGGCTCGTCCGCTGTCGTTCAGTTTTCTGATAACAATTCTGCAGGACAAGTTTCATCTTCATCTTCAGCTTCAGCTTCAACTTCTCAATTCATTTTATCCTATCTTCCCACTGATCCACAGCATTGCTTATCTAAATACCTGTAAGATCATCATTTTCTCTCTTTTTCCTTACGTCTTTTCTTGTTGACTGATGATATAAAAATTAAAAGCTGTTGAATTTTATGCATTTTCCTTTGTAGTAACCAATATATGATGCAAAATGGAGAAGAAACAGAGGTCAGTGCAGGAACTAGCAACACTAATTTATCAGATTCTTTGTTGGGTGAAACCCAGTTTTTGTCTAATAGGATGGGATATGAATGTTGTGCTTGTAACCATTCTGCTAAATTCTCCTGCTTAAGAACAATTCCTGCTTTGGCCCCACTTGCTCATGTTGGTATTTCTTCTTATTCTGCTTTTCAAGACCTTGCTTCTAGCCTCAAATCTGGGAATTTGGAAGATCACATATTGTCTTCACTTAATCTTTTTATTCAACAAAAAGCTTCTGGGAGAGACAGTGTTAATTATATGCGTCTACTTGGGGTTCCTTCATTTGATGAGACTAGTATCCCAGGTTGCCTCAGACATCCCAATATAGCACCTATTCTTGGCTTAGTCAAAACACCTGGTTATATCAACTTACTGCTCCCCAAAACTCCATATACCTTGGAGAATATTCTTCATTACAGCCCGAATGCCTTGAAGTCGGACTGGCATGTGAGGTTTTTGATGTATCAGCTGCTGTCTGCCCTTAGTTACTTACATGGATTGGGGGTTCACCATGGTAATCTATGCCCATCCAATGTGATGCTCACTAATTCATGCTGGGTTTGGCTGCGGATTTGGGATAACCCTAGGTTAGGATTCAATTTAGATTTCAAACATGGGAAATCTGACACTAGCTGTGCTCCTTCAAGGGTAGGTTGTTGCATAGAAGGTTGTTCTTCTCAAGGATTATATGCTGATTTTAAGCTCTCCCCATCTTCAGATTGGAATTCTCAATTCACTAGATGGTGGAGGGGAGAGCTGAGTAATTTTGAGTATTTGCTTTTCTTAAATAAGTTGGCTGGTAGAAGGTGGGGGGACCACACATTTCATCCAGTAATGCCATGGGTAATAGATTTTAGCACAAAACCAAGTGAGGACTCTGATTCAGGATGGCGGGATTTAAGCAAGAGTAAATGGAGGTTGGCAAAAGGTGATGAACAGTTGGATTTCACCTACTCAACATCTGAAGTTCCACACCATGTCTCAGACGAGTGTCTATCAGAGTTGGCTGTCTGCAGCTATAAAGCAAGGAGGTTGCCTTTAAGTGTTCTGCGGATGGCTGTTCGCTCTGTCTATGAACCTAATGAGTACCCTTCTACCATGCAAAGACTTTATCAATGGACACCAGATGAGTGCATCCCTGAATTTTATTGTGATCCTCGAATATTTTACTCTCAGCATTCCGGTATGAATGATCTGGCTGTTCCATCATGGGCAGGTAGTCCTGAAGAATTCATTAAATTGCATCGAGATGCTTTAGAGAGTAATCGAGTCTCATGTCAAATCCATCATTGGATTGATATAACCTTTGGATATAAGATGTTGGGGCCAGCTGCTGTTGCTGCTAAGAATGTTATGCTGTCTTCATCAGAGTCCACAAAGGCAAGGTCAATTGGACGGCGCCAGCTCTTTACTCAACCACACCCTGCACGTCGAGTTGCTATGCAGGAAACACGTGATAGCGCCATAGAGTCAGCCGTTTGTCTGCACCAAGCAAATGAAATGGATAACGAGAAATCTTTTCTCTATAAAACTGCCTGTTTACAAGAATTGGAAGAAGTGTCTTTATTTTCAGAACATGCCCGGCATTTGAGTCCTCTCTATTGCTATGGTCAAGAAAACCTTCTGAAGCAAAGCTCTTCTTTAAAGGTTCAAAGTGAGAATTTGGACAAAAGTGCATCAAACCCACATCATATTAGCAATTACTGTGGGTGTCCATCTGATATTGATTTAAATTATCTTCTTGAGCATATAGAAATACAGGATGATGATTCCACAGGATATCAAGAGTTTTTGCTTTGGAGGCAGAAATCATTTTTATCAAGGTCTTCCTCCAAAGAGGCAGCAATGGACATATTTTCAGTGGGTTGTCTCTTAGCTGAGCTTTACTTGAAGAGGCCACTTTTTGATTCAAGTTCATTAGCCATGTACTTGGAAAGTGGTGTTTTCCCTGGATTGATACAGGAACTTCCTTCTCATGCTAAAGTACTGGTTGAAGCTTGCATAGGGAAGAACTGGATGAGGTTTTTTTCTATTATATTTTAATCTTATTAAATTTTATTTAATAATGCTTCTATTGATTCATTTCTCTATGTTATTCTATTCTTATTTTATGAGGCCTGGCATCAACTATATGCATTTATATAACTAAACTACTTTTGTTTTATTTAAAACTCATAATAACCAGGAGGCCATCTGCCAAAAGTCTATTGGAATCTCCTTATTTTCCTTCAACAGTGAAGTCAGTCTACTTGTTTACTGTGCCACTTCAACTTATGGCAAAAGATGGATCCCAACTTCAATTTGCAGCAAATTTTGCAAAGCAAGGGGCACTGAAAGCAATGGGAACTCTTGCAGCTGAAATGTGTGCTCCATACTGTTTACCACTTGCTTCAGCTACTTTATCTGACGCTGAAGCTGAATGGGCTTACGTACTGCTGAAAGAATTCATAAAATGTTTGACCCCAAAAGCAGTGAAGGCATCAGTTTTGCCTGCTATCCAGAAGATTCTGCAGGCTAGTTATGAGCTTTCTTTCTTTTGCACTTGCATCTATATGGAACTATCTTATTTGACTCCATGTGGATGAACTTGTTTATTTCAGACCACAGGTTATTCTCATTTGAAGGTTTCTCTTCTTCAAGACTCATTTGTTCGAGAGATATGGAACCAAATTGGTAAACAAGCATATCTGGAAACAATACATCCATTGGTCATATCAAATCTATACATTTCTCCTCACAAGAGTTCAGCAGCTGCTGCTTCTGTTCTGCTTATTTGCTCCAGTGAAGAGCTTGGTGTGCCTATCACTGTTCATCAGGTTAACCTCTTCCTATGTTTCTTGGTTTTATTCAGAAGTAAATAAAGTTTGGCCATACAGTTTTGTGGGTTATACATAGATCCAATTTCTCTTTGTCATTATAACAACAAACCCTCGATCCTTAATGTAGACGATCCTGCCTTTGATTCAATGCTTTGGGAAGGGACTATGCCCTGATGGAATTGATGTCCTGGTCAGAATTGGTAGTTACAGTTCTTTGGGTTTTCAGATTGATGTCTGTTCTGGAAATGGCATGTTTATCATGTACTTACTGTCATTCTTTTACTTTTCAGGCGGTCTTTTGGGAGAGACCTTTATTGTCAGACAGATGCTACCACTGCTTAAACATGTTGCTCGTTCTTGTATTGATGTTTCTTGTATGAATAAGCCTGAGCCTGTGCATAGCTGGAGTAGTTTAGCACTTATTGATTGTCTAATGACATTGGACGGTCTAGTAGCCTTCTTACCAAGGGAAGCAGTTGTAAAAGACCTAATTGAAGTATGCAGTTGGTTCTGAAATCCATTTTTTGCACTTTATATTGAGAATTAATAATGCATCTCCTATTATCTTGCAGGATAAGAGTTGCCTACATGTTCTGGCTCTTATGCAAAGAAATTTAGAGATGACAGTGCTTCAGGTTCTTTAAGATTTCTGTTTTCATTTAACTGCAGTGCAGTTAATCATACTTAAGTTTTGAAGAATTGTACACAATAATGAAAAGGATTACATTTAGAGGGGAATATGTCGTTACTGTTTATTATCGTTTAGCATCTAATATTGTGTGTTTATTATTTTTGTCTTGCTACAAGTGAAGCTTGAATCTCTATAATGAAGCATCATGAATCCACATGCTCAGTATGAAGCTATCAAGCTACATGAAAAAACGATATTCTTCTAAGCACCTCTAAGGAATATGACAGTCTTTACTTTCAGAATTTCTCCGCCGGATGCTTGGTCATGTAAAGGCCTTAGAAGGTCATGTAAAGGCCTTAGAAGGTCATGTGAATAGCACCTCTAAGGGGTGGATTGTCTTGAGGCAAAAAGGAATAAAACTTACTACCTCGATCATTTATAATTAATTACTGGGAAAAAGCTTAGTTGCTCCTATTATTGTTGCTGTTCTTATCATTTATGTTTAATAACTTTTTTTGGTTCTCTATGTCATGCATCTCAAATGCGAGCCAGATATTTCAAAGTTTTCATAATTTCATATGTGGTGTAACGGTCAGGTTGGTGCTACAACTTTAATGGCAATTTGCCAGAGGATTG